ACATAATATGATTGTTATTTCGGAATGTACAATTTAGCGTTTAGTTGGGTTTAAATAATATAGCGTCAAATCAATTACCTACTCTATCGGTTGTATCTCAATATACACTACACTTTAATGATACAATAAATAAATAAACTCACACATACACACATATGCATTTATAACATTGTGTCTAATGTAAGTATAACATGATAAAAAGTAACCGTAAAATGAAAAAAATGGAATATAAATTTTATTACTCATATTAAATGTAATGTAACTCGAAAAATATTTGTTTAAATGAAAAAATATAAGATTATATTTTTATTTATAATTGTCTTTTAAACAACTTTTGTGCGAAACTTTTTTTTGTAAGTTAAATATTTTTTTTTGAGAAAATTAAGAAAGCTCATATTTTTGAACTTTTGCGAGGATTTAAAAAAAAAGCTCAATTCCAATCTTGAGGACTATTAGTATGTCATTATACATATTTTAATTCAACTTTTAAAAAAACAAAATTTTTTCCGCAATTTTTCCTTTGTTGACTGGCCTAGATGTCAATTTTAAACTTGTAATTGAGCTAAAAGTTATGGTAATATATTCAATTTATTTTACTATAAACTTTCATAAATCTTTATCAAAAATTTTTCATCAACTTTAAAGAACCAAAAAAATAGGTTAAAATTGAAAATTTGGACTGATTATTTTTAACATATTAAAAATCAAATCAGTAATAATTTGAAAACAAATTTTTTTTTCTTTTAATTATTATTTTATATATATAATTAGTAATAATATAAAAAATTAGAAGTGATAGAAATAGTCTACTTGCAGATTTGAAAACAACGCGAAAAGTTGATTTAGAAAAGTATATTTTTGCTTCTGATGAAAGTTCCTTGTAGTCCAGTGCATTTTTTTATAGTAACAAACAGTTTTTATTGAAAATTATTGTATCAAGCCCTTTAAATTTTTATACACGTAAAAGTAAAGCAAAATATAACTTCTTTATTATTTTTATAATTTCTCCGTTTAAATTACAATATTAAATATCAATTTCATACTAAATTTAATAATTATAATTAGTATATATTCAAATATTATATTTTAAAATCAAAGAACTACTAATCATGATATAATTAAAGAAATAAGAGTTGATGTTGCTTTTGGAATAATCCACCAATTGCCTAATTAAAACAAAAAAAAAAAAAGTTTGTTGGGAATTTTTTCTGCTATTCTCCAAAATTACTCCTTCGTTGACTAGAATGTATCATTAAATAGAAGATTTTATGAGAATTAAAACAATGTTATTTTTAAGATTAATATGCAGTCAGGAAATTTAAAATTACTATTTACAGTATATTTATCAGAAAAACTCATAATTTTTTTACATTTTTATCGTAATAGAACACTTAAATAGAAATCATAATATCATTTCTAAGTAATTTTTGGTATTTAAAAAGGTTCTACAATTGAAATATCCAGAACTGAATTAATTTTAATGATTTACTTTAACTAAAAATAAAAAAGTTAATATTTTGAATTCCTCTTGTGGGCAGGTAAAGGGTTAGATTTATAAAAAAAACCAAATGATAGAAAAGACATGCATCTAAATAAAAAAAAATATACTGATTTGGACATTTTTAATAAAGTTATAACAGTTAACAAAGTTATAAGTTTTATACACTGGACTACAAGGAACTTCCATCAGAAACAAAAATATACTATTCTAAATCAACTTTTCGCGATGTTTTCAAATGTGCAATTAGACTTTTTCTATCACTTCTAAGTTTTAATATTATTAAAAAATAGTTTTTACATATAAAAAAAAATAATTAAGAACAAAAAAAATTGTTTTAAATTAATACTGATTTGATATAATATTTAATATTAATTTGATTATTAATAAGTTAAAAATAAGGAAAATGACATATTTAACCAATTTTGTTAATCGTTTAAAGTTGATTGTTGTAAATGTTTATAATAAAAAAAAATAATTTATTTTTCCATAACTTTTAGCTCAATTGGCAAGTTTGACATTGAAATCATAAAATAGAAAATTTTATGACAATTAAAAAAATTGTACCGTTAAATTCAATTTGCAGTCAGAAAGTTTTATAATTACTATTTATTGTAAATTTATCAGAAAAGCTCAATATTTTTTTGCATTTTTATGGTAATAGATAACTTAAATAGAAGTAATNTAATTTTTTTTTGCATTTTTATGGTAATAGATAACTTAAATAGAAGTAATAGTGTTAATTTCCTAGTAACTTTTGTTGTTTGAAAAGATTCTACAATTGAAATATTGAGAACTTAATTAATTTTAATGATTTACTTTAACTTTAAATCAAAACAAAGTTTGATTGAAAATTAAAAATTGTAAAAATCCATTATTAATTCAGGAGAAACTAGCAATCATTTTTTTTAGAAATGATTTATATAGCAACATGTTACCAAAAAATTTTGAATATTATAGTCTAGTAGTAGCGCACACAAATAGAGTAAAAAAATTATTAAATTACAAAGTAAAATGATTTAATTTTGTAGTTGAAACCTATCATATAAAATTTCATTCGTTAATAAATATTTTGAAAACATTAGAAATTAATGATTTTAATTGTCTTTATGGAGACGATGTAATAACTAACTGTTTANTACATGGAATAACTAACTGTTTAATTAATAAATTGAATTTTTTTTAAATTTTTGAGGGTAATATCTTCAACTAGATACGAATTGTAATAATTTGACATATCGTTGAAAAAAGTAGGTCAAGTTAGAGCAGAGAAAATAAATGATA